AAGATATTATAAAATATTATCAATTATAATAAGCTATTATAAGCTAAAGTAAGCTAATTAAAAGCTATATTAATTATTAATCTTAGTTTATAATAATTTAAATATTAAATACTAAATAAATATTAATAAAATAACTTTTATATTAAGAATTAGCTAAATATAGTTATTATTATTAAATAATAAAATTATTATAAGCTATTATAAGTTAATATAAATTATAATATACTAATTAAGAGTAATATTAGTAATTAAGCTTAATTTATAATAATTTAAATTTAGAAAAAAATAAATATAAGTAAAATAATTTTTTTTATTAAAAATTAATTAAGATTAATTAATAGTATTAAGTAGTTAATAATATTATAAATAATAATAAGCTATAATAAGTTGATTATTAGTTATATTATTAACTAATTTTAGCTTATAATAGTTTAAATATTAAAATATATAAATATAAATAAAATATCTTTTATATTTAAAATTAGCTAAATTTAAATATTACTATTAAGTAATTATATTATTATAAATCAAAATAAGTTATAATAAGCTAAAATAAACTATTTTAATAATAAGCTTTAGTTTTTTTAAATACTTAATAATAAGTAAATATAAATAAAATAGCTTTTATTTTAAGAATTAACTATAAGTAATTAATATTAATAAATAATAAAATTATTATAAGCTATTATAAATTATAATAACTTAAAATAAGCTAATTATAAATAATATTATTAATTAATTTTAGTTTATTTTATCTAAATATTAAAATAAGTAAATGTTAGTAAAATAGTTTTAATATTAAATATTAATTAAATTTAAGTATTATTATTAAATAATTAGACTATTATAAATTAGAATAAACTATAATAAGCTAAAAAATATTAATAGTAAATAATATTATTAATTAATTTTAATTTATAATAGTTTAAATATTTAATAATAAATAAATATAAATAAAATAATCTTTATATTAAGAATTAGCTAAATATAATTATTATTATTAAGTATTTAAATTATTATAAATTATAAATATTTATTATAAACTATTATAAGTTATTATAAGCTATTATTAAATATTATCATTATATTATATAGTTAATATAAGTTAAATTTTAATAATATATATTTAAAACTTTATATTATATAAAAAATATTATTTTATATTATATTTAATATATTAAAAAAAAAGTTATATAAAAATATTATTATAAAATATTATAAGTTATAATAAATTATAATAATTTATTATTAAGTATATTAGAAAATTTATATAATATATTACTATTTATAGAAATAATATTATATAATTATTTATTTATTTTATAAAAATACTTAAAATAAAATAAATAAAATAGAGAGAAAAAGAAGTATAAGAAGTAATAGTAATAAAGCTAAGTATTAAATTTATTTATAAATAAAGTAGATAAATAGAATATAAAATAAATATAAGAGTAGTATATAAAATATACTAAGGATATAACTTATTTACTTATAAAATAAATAAAAAATTACTTAAGAATACCTAAAAATACTATAAAATACTAATAAAAAATACCTAATGCTATGCTAAAGTCTTAGTAATAGGAAGATAGTATATATATTAAGAAAGTATAAGAACTATTTCTTAAATATTACTAGAGTAAGTATAACTATTATTAATAATATTTATTAAGTTAATAATATTATACTTATATATACCTATATATTAGCTATAGCTATAATTACGTTAACTAGTAAAAAAGGTACTTACTATTATTAGTATATATATAAAGAATATAAAGGATAGTAAGAAAATAAACTAGCTTTACTCTTATTAGAGAGATTAAAGAAATTATAATAATACTTAAAGCTTATATTTATTAGTTAATATATATATAAAGAAAGTATAATAAATATATAATACTTAGAGCTATCTACCTTATTAACTAAAGTAGCCTCTATATTTATATTAATAATAATAGCTTTTTATATCTTATTAGTATATACTAAGAAAGTATAAAGTAGGTATCTTATATACTTAGCTAGTATTACTAATTACTTAGTATCTAAGCCCTATAAAGTTATTAATAAATTTTAGAACTAATTAAAAATTTTAGCTCTATAGATATTTATATTTTCTTAGTATCTACGTAGTACTTTCTTTATAAGATTAGCTTATATTTAGAGAAAGGTAATAGAATAAATTAGGACTAGCTTTAGTAGGGCTTTCTTAAGTCTTTTAGCTATACTAAGCTAGTAATTTATATATAGTTAAAGTATAGAGAAAAGCCTTTTTATTAGAATAACTAGGCTAGAATTAATAAATATAGATAAGGTAATAAATCTAGAATTAATAGTAAAAGATAGAGGAATAAATCTAGAATTAATAATAGAAGATAAAGTAATAAATTTAGTATTAAGAATAGGAATAAGAATAATTTTAATATTATAAGTAGGATTTTTAGATAATAAAATAGGACTTAAGAAGGAATAAGAAGAGAAGCTATATAGTTAGGTAAGAATATAATATATATACGTTATATACTTATAATATAGTAAAAAACTAAACTAAAATACTTCTAAAATAAAGGGTTAATTTAGCTATAAAGAGTTAGAAATAGTATTTTATAAGTAT